GAATGAGGCAGGTATCATGATGCTGCACTAAACCACAGTACATTATTTGGACTTTTGAGTTTGAGAAGCATTAACCAAGCAGAACAAAAAGTATAAAAAGGATTTTCTTGTAGCGAATGGATTTTCATGATTTATAACTTAAGCTATGAAAGAGTAGAAAAGTTCTTGGAACTGATGGGTCTGGTTTTTTAGTGCCATCTCTGAGTTCTAGAAGTACCAAGTTTGTGAGCATCAGTGCTTCTCAAGCACTGCCTCATGGGGAAAAAGTGTCCGAATCAGCTTCTTTCACAGAGTAACCCTTAACACACATTTTGTACTCTCAAAACTGAAATCAGTGTTGTACTTACTGTCGGACATGTTTTATCCTCCACTCGACAGATTGGTATGCACTTAAGCCACATACAAAATAAAGTGCTTTTGGGAAGAGTTTAAACATTCATGATGTTAAGATGGAGGAAGCAAGAGGGGCAAACAGCCAGCTTTTGCACAGCAGTCACTGTGCTTTGTAAGAAGTGTGTGTGCGCGTGTGAGGCATCACACAATGGTTGATCAGCAAAGGCGGCTTGGCAGTGCGGCCGCTTCATTTCCAATTACATGCTTTGTTGGCAAGGCAACCAGGTCACCCTCGGGAGACGACAAACAAAGTTACCTTCAGCTGCCTTGGGCAAGATTTGAATTCTCCCTATGTGCTCCTGTTCCACTTTTTGTGCAGCAATTCAGAAAGTGATTTGCTGAGATTAATGTTAGTGTAAGTCCTTTTTTATATTTATCAGTACATTACATAACCATTATAGAAGATTTGGATAAATAATCCTAATACTGTTTTATATTAATAATTTTTATATATATTTTTTGTTTCATTTTAGATACTATTACTATTAATCTAATTGATATTTTAGTGGTGGGTCAGATTTCAGGTTTATATCATTTGACCTTGCACAACTTGATGTAAAAACAGCAACTTTGGAGGTAACTTGCAATTTTATGATTCAACCACAGATGGCGATAAAAAGTCTTTCTTCTGTGAAACATGAAAAAGGATATTTTGATAAATGTTTTAGTATATTTTTGTCTATAAAATAGAAGTCAGTGGTCAACAAAACCATTTAGTTACCAACATTCTTCAAAATATCTTCATTTATGGAACCTTACTTTTAAAAATAAAGGTTCCAAAAGTTTTTTTTTTTTTTTCTTCGCATTTTGGGCTCCCCAAAGAACCTTTCAGTGAACAGTTCTTAAAATAACTACTTTAGTGTGAAAAACATTTAAAAAATAAACAAAATTTTTTCACTATGATGATTTTTATTTTTTTATTTTTTGGAATGGAAAGGTTCCATAGATGTTATCGGTGCTTCATGGAATCATCAATGCCAATAAAGAACCTTTATTTTTAAGAGTGTAAGAAAGTTATACAGGTTTGGAATGACATGAGGGTTGAATGATCCCTTTAATATGAATGTAGCTATACCTTTGATTCTAAAACAGCTTCCACTCTTCTTCTTTCTGCTAGATGTTGAAACATGACTGTGCATATTTTCTCCTATTCAGACACAAGGGCATCAGTAAGGTCAGATTCTGATGCTGGGCTGGCATTTATTAAAAATGTTGTGTAAGAAGATAGCATGACTTAATTTTATGCACCTGTTAGGAATGTGTGTAGCATCAATAGCCAAACTTGTTAAGTAGGAGAGGGTGTTCACACTTTTGGACATGCAGTATATGTCAAGTCATTTTCTATTTTACAATTTTAGCCCCTTTGGCTTACCCTAAAACCATCTATGAAGACCTTAAAAAGCATGTATTCATTATTGAACAGCAAGTAGAGAAAGATCAAAAGAATGTATTAGGGCTTACAAGTATCCTTTGATGCCCTAGAGTTCATTATTTCTACTTGTTATCAACAAATTCAGGGCGGACCCAAAACAGAGCCCAGAGGCACTCCAGATTCAGGTAAAGTGTGGCTGCATAGCTTATCTTCATATACTCGTTACATTTGACAGTCTGTGTACATCATGCTGGATCCAAAGGAGAAATAACAAGCATCAAGGGGGCTGACGAGGCATATATCCACCCATTTATGGCACTTCAGTCATGGTTACAGAACCAAACATACAAAGGATTCAATTGATTGATTGATTCGATGATCAGGCTTGTCACTGATTCTGTAGCTTAATGTGGTTTTTAAGTCTCTTGTGGTGGTTCTATGAAATGTAACACAAGGTATGGCTTTGCTATTTGCACAGATTTATAGCTAAGAAAGCATAGATTTCTTATGGTACGTGTAGGATAACTGCAATCTGTGAATTTGTATCCATCATTTATCTTGATTCCAAGCAGTGAAGCTTTCTAATCACAGGAGCGTTTGATTTCTTTCCCAGAGGCAGTGAGATTGACTCACTCAGCAGTTTTTCGTCAAAGTTGTGGTTGGACCTGAACATTTTTGCTGAGCCTCCTTAGTGGAATACCACAGAAGTACTGGACTATAAAGCTCCACAGTACAAAACAGTCTGTGTAAAACAAACTGATTGTGAGTCAAACCACATGTTTGTGGTCTGAGAATAATGTGTAATTGTTGTGCTTTTATCTTTTCAATTTGTGCAGTTATCTATGATTTACAGGCTTGCTTAAAAATTGCAACCCAAATGTTTCCCAGATCTTCACAACAGGAACATCGTGGCTTGACTGACATTGTTAATAACTACAAAAGATCACACATGAGTGGTGTGCATCAGCTGACATTCACTGACCTCCACTTGAACCCTGCGGCAAGACATGAACCGTTGCTTTTTAATGATGTTAATAATGTAACATGCATGCATGCACAACCGCGCAGAATTCAACAGGACTTCAGATGCATAAGGACAAAGTTCAAATCCATGGAAGTCAAAAGCAATAGATCCAGACTTCTATCTCCAACCAAACTCCAATAAAAACTTCTACCTCTTTTGGGAACTGCAAAGCTGAAAAATATATAAAAAAGAAAATATAACTTTCCTCTATAACTTTGTTCATCTCTTGATGGCCCCTTAAAATGGAAGTGTATTTCTGCCACATTAGAAAAAAAAAATCATGCTTTGGTAAATCATAATTATGGTATAAAAGGCAAAATTATGACAAGCTAAGTCATATTTATGAGATGAAAGTCTAAATTAAGACATACTTTAAAGGTTATAATTATGCGATGAAAAGTCACAGTTATGATGTAAAATGTCATAATTATGGATATAAAAGTTATATTTATTAGATTAAAAATGTAGAAATTATGACAAAAAGTCAAGTAATAAAAAGTAAACTATGTCAATAGAGATAAAAGTCATAATTATGATACAAAATGGACATAAAAGTCCATTTTATTTGTCAAATTTTTGCCATGCTTGTTACTTTTTGTCATAACTGACTTTTTATTACATATATTAAACTTTTTGTCATAATTTCAGCTTAATATAATTGCAACTTTTTTTTTACATAATTTACCAAAGTACTGTATGTCTCATCTTTTTCTTATGTACCTTTACCATTATTTTCAAACAAACAAACAAATAAACAAACTAATAAATAAATGGGGCAGCATTACATGTCTGATTAAGACTGTTTTCTGTTTTCAGCAGGGGTTAAATTTGGCCTTCTGGCACCTTTGATTTAATAATAATAATAATAAAACAAAAACTGTTTCTTTGCCATTCCTTGGTGAAGGTCATGTCTTGCCTAGGGCATCAGAATCATATTCAGATTTCAGGGTTTCCTCATGTCTGAAATCCCAGTTTAACCCTTAGTTACTAGTCTGTGCTCACACAAAGATACAGTGACCAATCTTGGCCAGAGGATCTTGGAATGATCTGTTTCACCTTGTCAGTTCCCACAGGAGCAGAGACACCTTGGTCCATGCCATCCATCACAGGTCACCTAAGAAAGTTGACATTTTTTCCACTGGTTCCTCACAGATGTAGGGCAGTGCTGCAGTGCATTTTTGTTCTCAATCACAACCAGCGAAAGGAGAAATGTATTGATTTTTCTCAGCATTTTCACAAATAACACACACTCCTGAAATGGGTCACTGACTATTGCACATTTCAGCTCCCTGTGCGTGTGTTCCTCCATCTTCTCTGGTTTTTATCTATCTTTATCCATCAAAAACAACACTCCAGCCATAGATCACAAACATCTCTTAAGAGGGTTGAATAGGTTGGTTCTTGGTCATATTTCTTGCTAGTAACATTGTGGAGAAGTCCATGGACGGTCACACTTTTGTCATGCAGAGGTACTCCTCGGCACTCAGCTTCCAAAGTGTCTGATCAAAAATACAAGCCAGTATCGATCAACCACTGGCTTTTAAAAAAGAAGCTGAGATGTAGAGTTCACAAGTTCTTCAACATCCATTCCTTTAGATCAATGGATTCTAAACTGGCTCATAACCCAGTTTTTACACTGACAACGATTGACAACACGTTGACAAGTGTTTCTAAAATTAAACATCTAAATGTATTCATCTTAACAAATTAATAATCATATAATATTTTAAACAATTATCATTACCATCAACTGCAATTTGACTAGCAGATTTTGCATTTGAAACCAACACTGGGGTAAAAATGAATAAAAGCGTTCCTAAAATTAAACACTGAAATGTGCTCACTTTAATTAACATTCATATAATATTTAAATAATTAACATTATTATGAACTGCAATTTGACTGGCAGATTTTACACTGGACATTGACCCAACACTGTACCAAATCTGACAGCATTCCTAAAATTAAACATCAAAATGCATTCATTTTAATTAATTAATATTATTTTAAATAAGTAAAATTTTCTTGAACTGCAATTTGAATTGGAAAAAAAAAAAAAAAAAAAAAGCAAAATATGATGATACAAATTGTTTTGCAATCTTAACTATGCATATATAACAATTTTTGAAATTTTTTTTCCTGCTGTATATTGCAACATGTTAAAGAAATCCAACACAAACTCCATATTAAAAGGACACAAGTCTTACTTTATTGACATCCTAAACTTTATTTTACAAAGGTAAGCATTTCATCCCAACCTCAATGAAACAGATTTACAAAGAAATAAAAACATCTTTAAAAGGCCATAAAAAACAACATCCTGTCCTCTAGCAGCATCCAAACTTCCCAGAAATAAACCATTTTATGTTTACAGTTACCTCTCAGCCAAGCTATACACAGTACTGCTGACATGGTACACAAGTACTGCCACATGGAGCCATTACTCTTTTTAGTGCAGAAAAGGAAAATACTCTCATTAAAATAACAATCTTAGGTTAAATAAGCTTAAATAAGAGGGCAAAGGTACAAGACACTTTTCTGAGGTACTTTACACCAACAAGCAAAATTTGGCTTTTATATCAAGTGGTTTACAGGTGCTAGTCTGCATGTACTAGCCCACCCACACAAGTTCAATCGTTTAATGTCTGTGTTGTTTGGGTAAAACAAAGCCAGTCGGCAGCCTAACGGATAAGAGCAGTGGGCATGGATTTTATAAGCACTTGGACAGTTATATGGATTAACGAAAACAACCGAGGGACTATTCTTTTACCACCAGTAACATCAGGCACACAAAAGACTTTGTTTTTCTACATAAAAGTATTTGAATACAACCAAATCACACTCAGTGCTAATCTTATTGAACAATTGTGATTACAACATCAGCAAAATTATTGCTACAACCTATCTCTCAATGTGTTACTTACAAAAATGCATTTTAAAACAGGTATACAGTACACCTAGTCTTGGGGAGCTTCGGACACTAAGGAACGTTGCATCCGGCTGGTCTACATTTCGACAAATGATGGGGGTGGACAGCTACAAAGCCAGGACTGAACTTGAGTTACGATGGTTGCTTGAAGGCGTTAAACCCAAGGAACCAAAGAATTTAGAAAGAAATCACGGCTTATTGCATTGCATTCACTTTCACGATCATTTTTCCCTTCCAATCCTTATCACATACCTTATTTAATGTCTTACTCTCCCTTTTCTCATTCACATTCTCATGTCCTGCCAACTACGACTTAGTGTGTTAGCCTATTAGCTCTGCACACGTTCACATTCAAATGCTGAAATTTCTCCCCTAACATCTTCTTTACAGTACGCTGGACTAGTTATCCTTGGGTTATGTAGTTTGCGAAGCACAACAACGGGAAGCTATGGACTACTTCAGCTCAAGGTTTCATGTCCATTGTGTTCAGAAACAATTCAGTAAATCTCCTCAGCTGCGCAGCTGCTGTCTGGCTCTCTTCATGCAGTCGAAGGTTGTCTTGACGAAGGTGTTGAACTTGTTCCTGGAGCATAGCCTTGTCTTCTTGCTCCTTTGGAGGATAATAACAAAGCATGTTACAAATAACTACCTTGAGGTGAATGCTGCTAACTGTGCTTGTTCAGCTATGTTAAGGATTTGTTTAAGCATTATGTTTGCACATTAAAGGCCTGTTATTATGTTTGAGACTCTTACCTTCCTTAGGTCATACTGCAGCTGTCGAAGAATGAGCTCCAGCTGGTTAACCTTCCCAGTGAGCAGAGTAGGAGAGCCTTCCCTGTTTGGATGATAGACAGACAGGAACAATTAGGCACACATATGGACAGACAGATGTGCATACAGACACAGACAAATACATAGATAGACAGACATACAGATAGAACGATGGATGGATGGATGCTATCTACATTAGCACTTACCCTGCTGGTAGGGTTGAGGCGTCCACGCATGCCACTCTTCTGTTCAGCTCCTCAGAGAGCTCCAGAACCTGCTTGGTCTGCTCTTCTTCAGTCAGAGAACTCAGAGAGGTCGCAGTTTGATCTAAAAGTGAGCGAAGAATTATTCTGTTAGAAATTCAAGTCGAAACATCCATTATCAAATCTATACAGGGCGGTAACCGCCTAAGACTGTGCAGTGTGTCGTGTTTACAATGTTTATCGTTTAATATAAGCCGCTGCATATTGTACATCTATTATAAAACAACTGTTTATCACTCAACAGCAATGCACAGAAAAAAAACCACACAAGCAGGAAATCCCTAAAGGCAGGAAACATGGTACTTCATACTGCTTCTGTTGAGGTGATACAGGCTGATGTTTCAGGTAGGAGCTCTGAGCAACACCCAGAGAAAAGCTTATTAAATATGATCCTCCTTTTCAGCTCTTTCTGAGGTGTTAGAGCGAACTGTTAACCAGCTTCAGCAGAGCAAGGTGCTAATTAAGTGGGGAACGGAGCTAACGCAGCAGAAGGGTTAATGGCGAGACGGGAGCGGGGTTCACAGGCTTTCAGGTGAGTTTAGCATTACACTGTCAGTCGGGCATATCATTAAGCATTCAAGATCGATCAGCAGACCGATATAGTGCCTTTACTTCCGCTGAGAGGGCAAAAGGGGGGTGCAACTGTCAAATGTGCTACTTTTACTGTTGTGCCTAAAACTAAATGCCAATGTCTGCTCACTGATAGCAAAAGATGGACCAACTGTTAATAATTGTTTTTATTGAGCTTAAATTAGAATTTACCCCATATCACTGGCATGTAACTGTCTAGATCTGTTTTTAAATACCAATTTCTATTCATTGATGTTCCAAAGATGGACTAAATGTTAATGTTTTTTAATGTTTTTATGGAGTTATAATTTGAATTTATCCCATATCACTGACATAATGGGCATTTTGCATTTGGATAAAACTAACCATTTTCTATTCATTTATAGCAAAAATGGACCAGAAGTTAAAAAAAAAAAAATCTTTTTATGGAGTTTTAATTTGAATTTACCCCATATTACGGACATAAAATGTGTTTTGCACTTGAATAAAACAAAACTATCTAGATCCATTTTTAAATACCAATTTCTACTGACTGATAGCAAAATATGGACCAGAAGTTAATAAATATACTGTATGCTTTCTATTGTTTTCGTTGAGCTTTAATTTGAATTGACCCCATATCACTGACATAAAAGTTTTATGCAAAAAACACAATCTAGATCAATTTTAAATACTATTTTCTACTTACTGATAGCAAAAGATGGACCAAAAGTTAATACATGTTTTTTTTTATTGATCTTTAATTTGAATGTAACTCATACCACTGAAATGAATGTGTTTTGCCCTTGCATTAAACAAAATTATCTAGGTTCAATTTTTAAATACTGATTTTTACTCAGCAAAACATGGACCAAAAGTGAATAAATATATGTTTTTATAGAGCTTTTATTTGGATTCACGCCACATCACTGACATAAAGGTTGAACGAGTAGAAACGTGTAGGTGTGGTCTTAGAAGTGGAGAATTTCTTTTGTTTCTTTATAAAGACCTACAAGCTATTTGTTAACAAGAATGCATGTCACGACCCTTTATATATATATATATTCAACATACCGTGTGCAAACGCCGAGCTAAAAGCGTTCATGAGGTTCCTTTAAGAACTCTCCCCTCTTCTAACACCTTTCAGCGCTTCCTCCACCCCCCTCTCTCATTTCATTTCATTAACAGTCTCACAGTTAGGGGTGTCGTCGGAGCCAGAGTTGAACAGACAGATAATTATTAGCGCTCTGAACAAAAACACGCACAAAGCAGCACATGAAAATCAACGATGTAAGCTCGCCTCCTCCCCACCCCCTTCTAGTTAGCACCCAAACCCTGAGGCAAAAGCTAACTTAATAATTTCTCCCACCATGAAACATTTGTCTGATATTTGTCACTATTTCGGGACGGAGCTGCACACTCATTCCATTTTTCATATCCGGCAGGTCCCAAGAGCGAGGCTCTAAGGAGTTGCGAGAAAAACCTTAGGGGGAGCCCGCACACCGGCTGCCTTGCCGGACGCCCTGTCAGCCAATCAAAGCCATCTACCATGTATCCCCCCCCCGCCCCCCCCGTTCCACATGCAGATCAGAAGGAAATTCTCAGTTCAAGAAGAGCTGTGCCGTGCCCTCGCCAACATTCTCCATGGTCTCCACAGCGACCGGTTGAAGGTGAGGGAACAGCTGTAATTGCACATGAGTAAAAGCGTCCAAAACCCAAAATGTGTAATTACAGCGAAAATAGAGATGTGGTGATTTCGACATGGTCAAGAGCAGTGTTGTGCAACCTTCAGTTAACTTTGTTAATGGCATGTGAGAGCGGCTAAAGCTGTGTGCTGAGGGAACACCTTGGTCAAAACAATTCAAATAATAGGACAATAAGGCATTTTAAGGTTTTTGTTATTTTCAATACTTCTCTAGCCTATAGTGAATACATTGAGCTCCAAAAATTTAAAAGGATGAATAAAAAAAATGTAATTTGCACATGCTGTCTGCATTGTCTTAGCGGAGATTTTACCATTTCAACATTCCAGCATCATACTGAGACTTCTATGTTCATTTACTTGTCTCTTTATTTTTTCATGATTCGGTTATTTTCTCTTGTGAACAGTCACCCAGTTGGAAGTCCCATTCATAAGCCATTTCACTTCTGCAACATGATGTATCTCGGAGGGATTTTTTTTTTTTTTTTAAATCACTTCATCTATCAATTGATTGGTTATTATAAGTTATACCAGAAAGGAGCTAAATCTGCACACTGGTTTGCTAAAATAATGCTTAAACAGTCATATGCCATATAATGAATAATAATACATAATATTATTAACATTATTTAAAAAAAAGGCCACAAGGCTTACTTGTTAATTATTAGAACAATTTTATTTTGATTAAATATTATGAAGACATTTTAATTTGGAATAATGTGCACCACTGAATCATTCACAATAAGAGCAGGAACATTGATTAGGAAAGTCAAAAATGCTCCAATCTGATTCCATGTTGACTTTAAAGTACTATATGAACAGAGCATTCTCTGACCTAAATGTGCCTTTACTAAATAATTTAACTCATGAGAGACTACAATTACACTCGAACCACTCATCATGGATATAATGATCAGTTCGATTAAGAGGAAACTGAGACAGTCACTGAGGACACAACTGAAGGGACCTGACCGCTGCATAAACTACATTAAACATTCATCCACAGGCAGAGATTTCAGCTTGACAGAAAAGCAGTTGCCGCTGCTCAACAGCCAAGGGCCAAAGGGCAGCTTTACCCACAATTCAATGTACTTATGGTGAAAGACTCAAACGCGGCAAGTCACAGAAGCAGAGTAAAATTAGCTCTAGGTGACCAATAGAGCACACATACGCGAATTCACACAAAGTCTGCTCATGCAGTCAGACAGACAGGCCTCGCCTGAGAGCAGAGAGGTGAAAGTGATTTGAATAATGAATGAAGGTGGCTGGCTTAGAGTTCTGCTATAATGAGAGAGGAACTGTACGTTTCAGACAGCTGGAGAACAGCTCAAATGTCTGTATGCGAAACACGCCAAGAGGCATTAGGACCGTTCACACAGGACGTGTTCTTGTGTTCCATATGTGCTATTTATTGCTATTTCACTTGTAGGTCTACATAAACATGCATTATATGGTCTTGCTAATTTTTCAGCATCCTATACCACAAGCGCGGTGTTTCTAAAAGTAGTAAATTTAGAAAATAGTTCCACTATTACATCCACTAATATTACATAAATAATTTTACAAGAAATATAATTTAAAAAATGTGGATAAAAAAAACTTATTTTTTGATATTTTTAAAATTCAATTTAATTAGCAGAAAATAGTTCCCAATTTTGGGAATGTTGTAAAAAAATATTTTAACAAAAAATACATTTTCCAAAAAGTGCATTAGGCAAACTTTGTATTTTTTGTAAAAACACAGTATTTTTGTATGTATATATATATATATATATATATATATATAAAGTTTTT